TGTGTGTGTGTGTGTGTGTGTGTGTGTGTGTGTGTGTGTGTGTGTGTGTGTGTGTGTGTGTGTGTGTGTGTGTGTGTGTGTGTGTGGGTGTGGGTGTGTGTTGGTGTGTGTGTGTGTGTTGGTGTGTGTGTGTGTGTGTGTTGGTGTGTGTGTGTGTGTTGGTGTGTGTGTGTGTGTGTTGGTGTGTGTGTGTGTGTTGGTGTGTGTGTGTGTTGGTGTGTGTGTGTGTGTTGGTGTGTGTGTGTGTGTGTTTGTGTTGGTGTGTTGGTGTGTTGGTGTGTGTTGGTGTGTGTGTGTGTGTGTGTGTTGGTGTGTGTGTGTGTGTGGAATTCCTGTTTCTAAGGAAGACATCTTTTCCGACAGTTCGGTAATGCATATACGAGAATGCAGGGGATGCAGGGGGCCGCAGGCTTACCATCGGAGCTGCGGCCAACGAAGACCTCCGATGGTAAGTGTGAAAACGTACCTGCTGAAAACAACCATATCTCTTCTGAAGATTTTCCGTGGAGATTCTGAATGCAAGCTTCTGAAGATTTTCTGTGGAGATTCTGAATGCAAGCTTCTGAAGACTTTCTGTGGGGATTCTGCATGCAAGCACAATTCGGAGAGTGAAGAAGAAGATGACGACTCGAGACAACCAGCTCAGACTGGGTATGTGTGTGATTCCCGGTAGTAATTCTGCCAAAGCGCTGCCGGCCCCTCGGTCTGCGGGGGAATGATGAATACTCCCTGAGTCCCTGTCTTCTTTCTGAATAGTGGACTTCAGTCTACATCTAACGCTGAAAATTACCGAACGATGAGATGTGAATGCTCCCAGCTGATGAAAACATCCAGACGCGGAAAACATATGAAGTCCTCTGGCAGATGAACATTGTATGCGCAAGATGAATACCTCCTGAGAATGATTGCGCTCCTAGCTGTCTACGGATTAATCTGAAGTCCACCTCTACGAATTCCCACAGTCCCGAACCTGTGCGGCCTGGTAATGTAACTACTGCAGAGGCGGTGTGTCAAGATTCGGGATCAGGTCGCCCGAAAAGCTCTGACACACATGTAGGATGATGTCGCCGATGCTATATCTACTGAGCGCTTTAGTTGGTGATGTTCTTAGTAATGCGTCCTCTACGTACCTCTTCGACGACGCAAAAGATGGTGTGCTGGGTGATTTCTGACCGCTGAAGACATCCAAGAGGATATCGCCGTAAGAATGTTACTTGTTGTACCTCTGGGTTTTGTGTTTTCGAACGCACATTCTGAAGACCATTCTGAAGACCTCCGGAGTTACACGCTGAAGACAACCGGAAAGCTGACATTTATAGATCCTCCTGTGAGAGTGGCAGAGGCGGTGTGTCAAGATTCGGAATCGGGCCGTCCGAAAAGCTCTGATACACATGTAGGATGATGCCGCCGATGTTATAGTAGTTTTGCGCGCTTAGGTTGGTGATGTTTATTACTAATGCGTCTTCTGAATACCTCGATCCTCCGTTGACGCAAAGGATGCTCTGGGTGTTGGTATTTTTTGACACTCACTCTCGGACTAGCCTGGCAAGGTCTGCAGAAGTAGGTACGACGATGATCATTAACTGCCCGCAAGCCCATTAGCTCACAGGGTGCTGTCAGACAAGATCCCAGAAACACCAACGCCAAGTGTCCAAGCATAACACAGATCCCAACTGACAGCAGACTCCCAGAGCACAAACGCTAAACCGAAAGAACCCACCCCTAGTTCCGTACTCCAGGAGCCCCGTGAAACAGCTTTCGGTACTACTACCAACTCACATCGCTCCAAGGCTTCAGAGGTTGCAACATGCAGTATGACCAACCACCACGTTAGTTCACTCATACCTGTCCAGTCGTGCAGCTGTCCATGCATGTTTTGCTAAACCAGGACATGCACCATGCACCATGCAGCAATCTCACCATCCACCAGCATGTGGACCAAAAAGCCGCGCCCCATCAGCGAGAGCCCGATCAACTTGCCATGCATAGATACAGAATAACCCATGTAGAAAAGTGCATTGCCGTGTGGACTCTGTCTGGGTGTTGGTATTCGCTGAAGACCGCCAAGCTGCTATGATGAAAGGACTATCTTTATGTGTGTTTTACCAGATGATGTATCCATTAATGTGCCTCCTGAAGACCGCCTCCTTTGGCACTTGAAGATGGTGTTTGAGATGATGATTTCGCTGCAGATCTCCAAGCTGCTACATTACTGTGCCTTCTGAATACCACCTCCTTTGGCACTTGAAGGTGGTGTTTGAGATGATGTTTTCACTGAAGACCACCAAGCTGCTAGTATGATGCATCCCCTGTGGTAGCGAAGCTTTCCTCGGAAAGCAGCGAGCCTGTTGTGTTGCTATCATTGTTTTTTCGTTCAGTCGTGTCGTCGTCGTGTTCCTGTGTTGCTTTTATTCGTTCCCGTCGTCCTTGTCGTTCGTGTAGATGTTGCAGCCACACTTATTGTGGTGTTGGTTGTTGCGTCGTTTCCTCGTCGTCGTCGATGTTGTTGTTCGTCTGTTTGCTGTTTCTCTTCGTCGTCCGCGTCGTTATTGTTGTGTTGTTGATGTTACATCATGTTTGTCTAGAACTTAGCCTATGAGAGTGAATCATTACCAACCGGCACTGACCGGGTAGGTGTGTGTGGAATTCCTGTTTCTAAGGAAGACATCTTTTCCGACAGTTCTGTAATGCATATACGAGAATGCAGGGGATGCAGGGGGCCGCAGGCTTACCATCGGAGCTGCGGCCAACGAAGACCTCCGATAGTAAGTGTGAAAACGTACCTGCTGAAAACAACCATATCTCTTCTGAAGATTTTCCGTGGAGATTCTGAATGCAAGCTTCTGAAGATTTTCTGTGGAGATTCTGAATGCAAGCTTCTGAAGACTTTCTGTGGAGATTCTGCATGCAAGCACAATTCGGAGAGGGAAGAAGAAGATGACGACTCGAGACAACCAGCTCAGACTGGGTATGTGTGTGTGTGTGGTTGGTGTTGTGTGTGTGTGTGTGTGTTGGTGTGTGTGTGTGTGTGTGTGTTTATGTGTGTGTGTGTTGGTGTGTGTTGGTGTGTTGGTGTGTGTTGGTGTGTGTTGGTGTGTGGGTGTGTGTTGGTGTGTGTGTGTGTGTTGGTGTGTGTGTGTGTGTGTGTTGGTGTGTGTGTGTGTGTTGGTGTGTGTGTGTGTGTGTGTTGGTGTGTGTGTGTGTGTGTGTGTGTGTGTGTGTGTGTGTGTGTGTGTGTGTGTGTGTGTGTGTGTGTGTGTGTGTGTGTGTGTGTGTGTGTGTGTGTGTGTGTGTGTGTGTGTGTGTGTGTGTGTGTGTGTGTGTGTGTGTCTGCGCGCGCGGCCTCCGCCAGAGCAGGCCGGGGAAAGGATTTAGTCGCGGAAGAGTCTTGCCCCCAGCGCGCGCGCGGCTTCCGCCAGAGCAGGCCGGGGACGGGATTTAGTCGCGGAAGAGTATTTAGTCGCGGAAGAGTCTCGCCCCCAGGCGCGCGCGGCCTTGGCCAGAGCAGGCCCGGGAGGCTCAAGTCGCGGAAGAGTCTCGCCCCCAGGCGCGCGCGGCCTTGGCCAGAGCAGGGCCGGGAGGGTCTTTAGTCGCGGAAGAGTCTCGCCCCGAGGTGCGCGCGGCCTTGGCCAGAGCAGGCCAGGAGGGTCTTTAGTCGCGGAAGAGTCTCGCCCCGAGGCGCGCGCGCGCGCGGCCTTGGCCAGAGCAGGCCGGGAGGGTCTTTAGTCGCGGAAGAGTCTCGCCCCAAGGCGCGCGCGGCCTTGGCCAGAGCAGGCCGGGAGGGTCTTTAGTCGCGGAAGAGTCTCGCCCCGAGGCGCGCGCGGCCTTGGCCTTGAGGGTCTTTAGTCGCGGAAGAGTCTCGCCCCAAGGCGCGCGCGGCCTTGGCCAGAGCAGGCCCGGGAGGGTCTTTAGTCGCGGAAGAGTCTCGCCCCAAGGCGCGCGCGGCCTTGGCCAGAGCAGGCCGGGGAGGATCTTTAGTCGCGGAAGAGTCTCGCCCCAAGGCGCGCGCGGCCTTGGCCAGAGCAGGCCCGGGGAGGATCTTTAGTCGCGGAAGAGTCTCGCCCCAAGGCGCGCGCGGCCTTGGCCAGAGCAGGCCGGGGAGGATCTTTAGTCGCGGAAGAGTCTCGCCCCAAGGCGCGCGCGGCCTTGGCCAGAGCAGGCCCGGGAGGGTCTTTAGTCGCGGAAAAGTCTCGCCCCAAGGCGCGCGCGGCCTTGGCCAGAGCAGGCCCGGGAGGGTCTTTAGTCGCGGAAAAGTCTCGCCCCAAGGCGCGCGCGGCTTGGCCAGAGCAGGCCGGGAGGGTCTTTAGTCGCGGAAGAGTCTCGCCCCAAGCGCGCGCGCGGCCTTGGCCAGAGCAGGCCGGGAGGGTCTTTAGTCGCGGAAGAGTCTCGCCCCAAGGCGCGCGCGGCCTTGGCCAGAGCAGGCCGGGAGGGTCTTTAGTTTAGTCGCGGAAGAGTCTCGCCCCAAGGCGCGCGCGGCCTTGGCCAGAGCAGGCCGGGAGGGTCTTTAGTCGCGGAAGAGTCTCGCCCCAAGGCGCGCGCGGCCTTGGCCAGAGCAGGCCGGGAGGGTCTTTAGTCGCGGAAGAGTCTTGTGTGTACATGTGTGTGTGTGTGTACATGTGTGTGTGTGTGTGAGTGTGTACATGTGTGTGTGTGTGTGTGGACGAGGAGGAGGAGGGCGCGGAGGAGGAGGCGGAGGAGGATGAGGAGGAGAAGGAGGAGGAGGAGGAGGCGGGACAGCCCCAAAAAGTAAGAACCCCACACAGTGATGTGGGGAACAATCTTACGCTCCCCTAATGTTTTTAATTTTCTTTCAATTGGGGGCCCAAAGCCGCCAAAATTCCGGGAGCCGGGAGTTTTTATATTAGGGGGGTTCAAGGGATTATACTGTACAATACACCAACCCATGTTTGCCACGGACTGCTGTTCCAAACTAGAACATGCCACGACAAGGCATTGAAGCTCGTACGATATGACAGACGCTGAGGTTCCCTTCTCTGGTCATGTACGAACTGGGCTGGAAGCGGGGTGACGTTCATGCTGCATGGCCCCGCATCTTCCTGCAGTGCCATGGCTAACAGATGAGAGATAATGATTGAAGAGGGAACAACGAAACAACGACGCTGTCACTGAGACTCAGGTGTAATTTCTTCGAGTCCCTGGATCCGCCGCTCGGAATTGTTCAGCGTTAGGAGGGCGGCTCACGGATCCCACTGGGCTCCCTCAGAGCATCAACGGACAAAGGCGACTTGAGGGCCGTTTGTGGGGCGGGCCCAAGTAGGCAATTGAAGATGAGGGAGCAAGTTAAGAGTCGAGCCGACCAGTCGCGTGAACTGAAACACACAGGCTTGGCGTGTTTGCGAGGTAATCCTGCTGATTTTTGCCTTTGCACAGCTTGCACGGCAGCGTCGCAGCCTCGCAGCGCTCAGGATGGAGATTCTCTGCAACGCCTGCCTTGTGTACGGTGTTTGGTTTCTGCTCTACGTCTCTTGGCTCCTCGCTTTCGGTCTGCGATGCCCCAAGCATGGATATGCTGCTCGGCTAGTATAAGTGCCGCGGGCAGCCGCTGGCATAGAAGTACTGCCGTCAGGACACGATCTTCCACTGGGCGATGCGAGGTTCCGCCGGAAGCGTCGTAGCAAAGATCTTGCGCCGGCAGCCAGAGGTCCCTCGCTCTCCGAGCTGAGGCGCTTGCTGCGTTTCGCTCTTGTGAAATGAGGTCCATGCAGCTTACACTGAGAGCAATGACTTTCCGCGGGAGTATGTCTTTGTCTACATGGCCTTGCATGCCGCATCAGCAGCTGGGGTAAATCACTGGATGCTTCACAAGCTTCGGCACCATGCAATCTTCTTTTCAGCATCGCCTTAAAGACGCGCGGCATCTTCTCAAGTCGGCTTGCTTGAGGTACTGGCGAGCATTCCGGTGTCGCTGCTGTGCTCCTTGGTGTTGCAAAGATATAGGGTTTAGAAGAACAGCGAATCTGCGGCACCCGTCGGTGTTCTCGCCTCTCTCGCCAGCGACACTGGAAGTTTCCTGGTCGCTCGAATCCTTGCCCGAAGCTTGCTTACAAGATTTGTTTTGATTTGCAGCCGCAAGTCGGCGCCAGTGAATCCGATCGACAATGCTGTTCCGATCTGTTCCGCACAAATCGAACTCGTCGTGGACTCGCAGGCTACACCAGTCAGTGGATCCACGTGCGGAGCTGAGCACAGAAAAAGAAGGGCAAGAGCAACGCTTCAGCCGCGCGAGCTAGTCTCTGAGGTCAGCCTTTGCGCCTGCGTGCTGCTCTCCACTATCTACAACGCGTCTGCCCGCTACACGCGACCTTGGCTGAACAGGCAGCTGGCAACTTGGGCCAAAATTAGGTCGCCCGTGCTTTAAGGTTCTACATGGTGAAGAGCTACACGGTGGCTTTGAAAAAGGAGTTGACACTTCTCCCTGCATTTAGACACAGCTTTCGCTGGAACTTCCCTTAAGTTGGTGAGAGATGTGCGCGTGCCTGAATGCCTGAGTGCCTGGCCTAGGAGAATACCTCGCGATCGCGGCGCTTCGGCCCTGCTCAGCGACGAGGATCGGAGCTGAGGCGCCCCAGCCGGCGGCGAGGCAAGAGCCGGCCGTCTGAGACGGTAACGAAAAAGAGGCATAGCGTGCGAAGCGGAGAGCGGAGCGGCAGAGCGGGTGGTGTGTGACACGCTGGTTGGGATGGGATGAGATGCTGGGATGCTGATGGATGCTTCGCTTCGCCGCGCAGCTGGTGGGCTCATGAAAAGGTGCAGCCACTGGCGGGTTGTGATGTGTAGCTCGTAGCTCGGCTCCGCTCGGCAGCCAACGCGACGCCAACGTCTCAGACTCGGTCTCAGAGCTTATAGCGGTTCTCTGAGCTGTCATGTCGCTGTGAGGCCTTCTCAGGGTGGGAATGACGAGAGAGACATGGCAGCAATCGCAGCAGCCTTGGCATTTTCCGCATTCCAAAACTGGCAGTCTGTGGCTTCGTTTGCTTCTTTGAGGTATTTGTACCCTGGGCCACTGCTGGTCCGGAACGCGGAACTTCCACCGAGCCTTCCCTTAAGGTCCCTTCCGCCTTTCAGGTGCGGAACACCTTCATCGACGACCCTTTAGGTCGCGACTGCTTGACCGAAGGCTTCTTGCATGAGCGCCAGGCCGGACTTCACACGTTTATCTCTGTCAGACGGGGTCATGGTCGGTATGGTAGGGATCTGCTGGGCTGTATGTAGGCTCCGCTCCCGTGTTCACGTGGTTTCACGTGGTTTCACGTCTTCACGAGGCTTTCTCCTGTCCTGTGAGCCGGATCTCAGAGCCTGGGAGCGGAGTGGAGGCCCTTCGAATCGGTCACGTGTCTCTGCAGCTCCCGGTGTTTCCACATTTCCGGAGGTGCCTACCGAGCCAAGAGCTGAGAGTCCAAGCGCCCATGCCTTTCAGCCAGAAAGGGCCGTGCGCTGCACTCCTGCAACCGTCAGGGCCGACAAAGTGGTTCTACCGGAGGCCAGTTTTTGAGACTGTGAGACAGTGGTTTAACCGGGCTCATTTTCCGTCCTCTGCGTCTCGCAGGCTCCGCCCGAAGATGCGGAGAGCTCGGACTGCAGCACCTCCTGCACCGATGGCCTCCTACTCCCTGCAGCGCCGCAACATGCCTCGCCCTCGTCGACGTGCTGTAGCGAGGGAATGGCTGGACTTCCGAGCTGCGAGGTGCCTCCACCCGAGGCGGACTTCGGGCCTCGGCCCAAGCAACACCTCGCAAGGATTCCGACAGAAGCAGAAGCTCAGAAGCTCAGAAGCTTAAGCTCCTTGGTGCCAGAAGCATTCTCCGTGCTGTCAGGTTCGGCGTGCGGCTTTCAGAACTTCCGAGTGGCCCTAGCGCTGGTAGCGAAAAGGTGCACACTGCGAGCCTCCCAGAGCTGCACGGCTGAGCGCTTGGGAGCTGAGCTGCGTCGCTGTCTGAGGCCCTGGCTCCCGACTTCCGCTACCAGTACTTGCCTGCAGAAGGAGTGCAGCGAGTGGAGCTTTGTCACTTCTGGGAAAAGTCGCTCGAAAGGAGTCGCTCCCCTGGCGCCGCCGCCCGATTGGGAGCCAACACTCCCGCCCCAGGCCAGTGCCGTCGAAGTCGCTACCAGGCGACCACACAGCAGACGGCTCAGGTGCTTCGCTTGGAAGAGGCCCTGAAGGACGAAGCTTCGGTCTGGGCCACAGGGGTGTGCTTCGGATCGAAGAAATCTCTTGCAGCGTTGCTCTCAGGTCAGCCAAGCCGGGCGCCCGGCTTTGCTGCAAAAAAGCCTTGGACGCTTCGATTCGACGGCTGCTTGCGAAGGTCCACCAGGCAGCGGCGCTGGCAGCTGCGGCTGCGATTGCTGCCAGCCACGAGGAGCAGGTGCCGCGGCGCGGCCCAGCAAGTGCGGGTGCACGCGGCGCACGCGCACTTGCGTGCGGCTCTTAGACTTGCGGGGCGGGGCTCTTGCGGGGCTTCAGGTCGCAGCAGCCAATGCTTTTGCCTCGGCCTGGGCTCCGACCGCCGCGCAGCAGGACCCAGCGGCTCTTTTTTAGCGCTGCCTGTGACGCACGGTCACGCTGCCGCTGCCACTTTTTCCACACAGCGCTCTGTCCAAAGCAACTCTGTTTCTCGAGGGTGCAGCCCTCGGCGAGCCGAGTGCCGGGTCCGCCGGGCACTACCAGGGCCAGTGCAGGCCGTGTGCCTCTTTCAACTCTCACCCTAGTCTCACCCCTCTCTCGTCGCTCCAGGCCGTGTGCCTTCTCCACCACGAAGGCAGACAAGCGACATCAGACCAGACAAGTCTACTCAAAGCCATGCCCAACACGCAGATCTGGCAGGGATGTTCCAGCGGCAACGAGTGCCAGTTCTGTCACCTCTGCGCACCCGGTATCTGGGCCAAAGAGTGCGGAGACGAGGGGGCCGCTCCGCAGAGACGTTTGTGGCTGTTAGGCGAGAAGAAACGGCGGCAAAAGGTGGGTTGCCGAGCTATGAAGCGCGAAGCCCCGCGCGAAGCCGCAGCTCAGCAGTTTTGCGTGAGGCCAAACGTGCCTTCTTCGGTGCCTTGGCAGAAATGCAGCGGGCGCTGACTGAGAGCGTGCCTTCAGCGAGCCCGCAGAGCGGCCCGCCAGGGCCAATGCCCCGAAATTAGGCGGAGCTTGGCTCTCGCTTCGAGTCCGGTCTCCAGGGCGCGAGTCCCGAGTCATAGGACTATACGGAGGTGTCCTAATGCGCTGGGGAACCAAGCATTGCATGTCTCTCGAGATCTCTGCTACAAAACGAGCAACAGAGATCTCGGTACTGTCGTTGCTCCCGCCCTTCCCGACTCGGTCGGCATTGCACTCTGTGTGCGCAGAAGGTGCAAGGAGCCGGCAGAATGTTCCGAGTAACTTTGCTGATCGAAGGAGTTTCACGCTTTGATACTGTGGAAATGGGCCTCGACCGTGTGTCTGATACGTGATGCCGCTTGTGCTCCGCTCTCAGTGCTCATGTCTCTGTCTTCACAAGCATGCGAAAGTGTTCACGGCTAGAGCCGTCCCCAGCGTCTCCTTCTCACACCGAGATGACACAAAGTCCGACCTGCTCAACGGAAAAAACAGCGAGATCCTCCTAAACATCTGTGAGTGACCCGCTGCAGAGTGTGATCTGCAACCAACACTTGCCAAGCGGTGCAAGTCGTCCCACAGGGACAGCCTGATTGACGCAGCCATGGCTCTTGCGGCTACTTGTAGCCTTTTGACGAAGCGTGGACGGGTCACTTGTACAACTGCCGTCTTTTCAGTTCTCAAGGTTTTGTGTCGGTAGGTCTCATGGGTCGCTCGGTCGTTCTGCTTTCATTTGGGATCTGGAACATCTGTGGCTTCTTTAGCGGCTATCTTTCCTCGGATTGGCCCGAGAAGGTGCTTTAGAGCACGCGACAGAAGCAGCCGCTCAGCTTGGTGCTGAGAAGTGTTCGCGGGCTCTGGAGGACATTTGCTGTGCAGACAGTGATCGGGAGAAGAGATCAAAGCGCAGATCATCCCGGAAAGCTGCCTCATCTTCGGAATTGAATATTTGGCTAGTCCCGTTGTTGGTCACGGTCTTAAACTGGGTCCTCGGATTCCTGCGCTGGTTGCTCAACTGTTGCAGACGAAATCGTCGTCGTCTGCAACTTGGCGAGGAGGACGGAGAGGAAGTTATCGTAACTTCTTCGCCCTCGGCAAACCGAGCCCTGGCTCATAAGCAGCTAGCTGAATTGAGAAAGAGAAGGCATGGATCTAGTCAATAGGAGAGCTCTTCTGCTTTATGATGTACCAGGGCCCACACTGTGGCACGAGAGGCTCCTGCTTCAACGTCTCGACGGAGAGGAGTTTGCTGTGTTGACACCGGACGGGGACGTGTACATTGAGCAGCTTTCTCTGCAAAATGAGGATTTGGTAGGCTTGAGGCTGCTGCCTAGGGGCGGTGCGATGCCCGTCGGAGTGAGAGCTGCAAACTTAGACCGCCTCCCAGTTTTCCGACCGGATGAGCTTGATGCATTCCGGGTTGAAGCTGATCGTGAAGTTGAAGAGGAGCGGGCAAGGCGCAACGCTGCCGCGGTGTAGGTGTCGCTGACGCTGGAGCGCCTCCGGCTATGTATGATAGATGGGGGAGCCGATGCCGGGCAGCGAGCTTGTTGACAGACCCAGATTGGTGACCAGGTATTCCCTCCTGCTGGTTTCCCCATCCTAGGTGACTTTGGTTGAATGAACCTTGGTGGAGCTCAAGGGCGAGTTTGTTTGATTGAGCGGGTTGACCGTGATGGCATTGATGCGTTCTGCGAGGATAGGATCCAGCTTGCTCGTGCAGGGGAGGCTTCCGAAGGAGGTGATCGTGATGTTCGGACTTTGTCCGTAAAATATTCCTGCAAATGGGGAGCGCCGAAGGAGCTTTCGGGAGACAATCGGGGAGCTTCAGCAGACGGAGTTCGATGATTTTCCGTATGAGCCGAGGACGTGTCTCCCATACTTGCAGGCGATACAGTCGGTCGCTGCTATCTGGGAAGCCAGTTCAAGCACGGTAAGGCAATCGTCATCCAGTCGCGTACCGATCACGTGTCCCAGCGGCTGCAAGCTGATTCTCAGATTGTCAAGGAAAGGAGAAAGTTGGAGGAAGCAAGAGGCAAGGCCAAAGGTAAGCCGCCAAAGAACTCTCCCAAGGGGGTCCGGCAGCATCGAGTGGACAGTGATCTACCGCACCCGTCGCCTCGCAGCCGGTGAGTAAGCACGGAACACAATCAGGAACAATGTGCTGTATTAAAGGAGGAAAAAGGGTCACGACTCCCTTCATTCTGTTACTTGTTTTAATTGAATAATAAATCCTGGAGCCGGTAATTGATTCCGTGGATGACCCGTGGTCTTTTCTCAGGCTGCTTTTCAGGTCGGGAAACTTCTGCAGGGTGCGAGTGCCTTGGCGTTGCATCTGGAGCGGGAGGTGCCGACTGTTTTTCGTTTGCAATGAGTTGGAGTAGCCGCATCTTTCACGAACCGGGCGGAGGCAGAGGACGCAATCGAGATTTTTTTCCGCTACCAGTGTTTAAGGTGGAGAACGTGCACAACGATGGTTTGTCTAGGGTCGTCCGGCGAAAGATTGAAGCGAGCAATGCTCTGAAGAAACATGTTAATGGTGCCATTTCGGCTTTCAATTCGCTGGGGTTCGGAGGGGGTTTGAGATACAGAGCATGGGAGATTGAACACATGGAAGGCCTCCCATTGGCACAGAAGGACGCGTTGAGTCACATTCAGAGGTGTGTCCGTGATCTTGGCCCCCCGCCGGACGGTGCCGCCAGGGAGCCCTTCAGGCGCTCCGGGCCGCCAGCTGCTCTTACACGGAGCCTGAGCCTGGCGTTGGGTCTGTTGTCGACATGGATCTCCATCGGCTTTCCCTGCCAACGGGGGGAGTGGCTGGGGTCACACTTGTTGATCAGCTTGAAGGCCCTGTGAGAGATATGGTCCAGAACTTTGAGGAGTACATGTTGCAGGACTCTGACGAAAGTTTGGTTGCTAGTGTACCTCCTTACAATGACAAGTTACTTCGACGACACCAGGGGTATTTACAATTCTTCAAACATCTCATCTCTATGAATGTGGGGTTTTGGGCTTTACTTCTTGCTGCAATGGCCGCGTTGGTGCGTTTTGCGTCTCGAAGATGCCCAAGGTAGTCAACGGCATAACTCAGCCACGTCAGCGGTTGGTCCTCGATTGCAAGCAGACCAACTTGCTTTTCAAAGACCCACCGTTGACGGAGTTAAGAAACCTCGCTGCACTAGGTCGTTTGAAGGTGGAGGATATGCGGCAGGTGCGGACATGCGTGACTGTTTCTGCGCAGCAAATTGCCCGCCAGGAATGTCCGATTACTTCTGCCTCGCGAGAGATCTCACAGAAGCGGAGGCGAAGTATGTCACGGGGGGGCAGAGAGACTGTGACAACTTCGGGGAAAGGATCATACCATGCATCACCGTTTTGCCTATGGGTTTCAGTTGGTCTTTTTGCCTGATACAGACGATGCACGAACAAGCGACGATGAAGTCGCTCAGGATTGCCAGGTCGAAGCTGGTCATCGATGGTCAACCAGCGCCGAGGCTTGGTGATGACGAATGTGTCGGCATGCCCTACTGTGACAATGTACACACGCTTTCAAAATCACGTGATAGATGCCAACAATCGTGCAACGATATATGTGATCGCCTGGGTGTTGAGCTGCGCGAAGAGGCCGAAGCTTCCACCTACATGGAAAACACTGGGTCGCGTCATTGATGGTGAGGCCGGTTAAATCAGGTCCACCAAGAAGCGTATGTGGAGAGTCATTTTGGCTTTTGAGCATATGTGCAGTGCAAAAGTTTCAACACAGCTGGTGCAGAAGTTGTGGGGTCACGGGATTACACTGTGCATTCTTAATCGCGCTGGGATGTGTGTTTTTCGAAGATTGTACGACTTTGTTGAGCGGGGCAGACACCCAGATACCTTTCTTTTGCCGAAAGAGAAGAATGTAGGATCTTCATTGGGCTGGTTCCCTGGCTTTTTTCTGATATGCGACGGCCTTGGGCAGAGACCATTACGGCTACTGATGCCTCGCCTGCGGGGTTCGGTATTTGTGAAAGGAAGTCCACTCCCAAGGCAGTGTCGTCGATCGGTGAATGGAGTGAGAGGTGGAGGTTTCGTAGATTGGGTCCAGAAGAATGGGCTCCGAGGAAACATGCATTGCATAGAGATGTTCTCAGTGATGTTCGTACTGTCGTTGGCGAGTCTGGCGATATCCCCGAGTACGAGAGGTAAGAGGTACACTGACAGTACAGGCTTTCCTGAAGTACCTAGCGAGTTCCTTGAACCCAGGCAGTGGACTACGAAAAGCATGGGAAAGTGGAGGCACACCAACGACCATATAACGCTGAAGGAGGCAAGATGTGCGGTGCTCGCGTTGCGCAGGTTGGTGAGGTCCTGGCACAATCGGAACAAGGCGCATGTGTTCCTCATTGACAATCTTGCGCTATGCTTTGCACTACAGAAAGGCAGGGCACACACGTTTGACGTGTTGCAGCAGATCGGTTCAACACTTCTGGCGTCAACTTGTCCCTGCACGCTCGATGGATACCTTCTGAGCTTAATCCATCAGATGGACCGCGGGCAGATCAGTCCGGGTCCTCTGCGGAAGAGCGCAGCCCATCAAGATGGCCAAGAATGGGCACGCGACGGTCAAAGCATTGAATCCCATGACAAAGGAGTCCAGGAGCCTGGTTTCGAAGGTGATCGTTCACGAGAAGGAGTCGGCCCAGAAGAGGGGAAAATCCTGCAAGCGAGTTATTGTGCCATCCGAGGCCAAACATCGCGCGACCAAGCGAGCCAGAAGATCAGTTCAAGATCGAAAGGTCCAACCGTGGAGTGCCGACTTGACCAAGCTGGAGATGAAGAGTATCTCAGTCGAGAGCTTAGGGCAGTACGGCACTGATTTCTGCAAGGTGAACGGTGGAGCAGAAATCAACAATGCCGAAGACACGGACATGTGGTTGGCGGATTATATGGACGTGATGTTTGCGGAAGGGCGGGGGGCACACGATGGAGACAAGACATTGGCGGCCGTGGAGTTCGCGACAATTGCTTTCAAAGGCAAACTATTCAGGAGCCGCCGGGCCTTGAAAGGCTGGCGAAAAGTGCGGCCGGCCTTGAGTCGACTGCCACTCCCACGACTTTTGATGATGGGCATTGCGATGGAGCTCATGGCTATGGGACAAGCCGCAATGGCTTTGATGGTGTTGGTAGTCTTTTTCCTTTACCTGCGCCCGGGAGAAGCCATAGACATTCTTCGCAGGAATGTAGTTCCACCAGTGCGAATGGCGGCCAACCAAGACGCCTGGGTAACAGTCGTCATAAGGGACAGCGAAGGATTGAAGCCGGACAAGGTGGGGGTCTTCGACATCAGTATCCCTTTCGACACGAAGAAGATTGCCTGGGTTGGAGATGCCCTCCTTCAGAAGGCGCAGGGTCTGAAGAATGCGGGTCGAAAGGTCTTCCCATTCTCGATGGAGGGCTTCCGAAAGGCATTTCCAGAAGGCCGGCGCCAGTTTAGGTGTGGAGCATTTGCATCCGTATCAACTTCGACACGGCAGTGCCACGGAGGATCTGGGCTCGAAGCAGCGGGAGTTCAGTGTGGTAAAAGCCAGGGATCGTTGGAAGTCGGACCAGTGTCTTCGCCGTTATGCCAAAATCGGGAGGATGCAGCAGCTGCTCAGCCAAATGCCAGAAGTGAGCAAACGGTTCTGCCGATGGAGCGAGCTCAACATCGACAAGGTTCTTCAAGGGAAGATTGCAGCCAAGTCCATTCGCGGTTGAAAGATGGCGATACTTTCAAGTGCAAGTGCAAGCCGCATCATTTCAGTTTGCAGTGTTGTTTGTCGGCGAGGGTGCATAGCAAGAGCGCTGCATGAGGCTGGCGTGAAAGCTTTCGCTGTGGATTGTGGTGCTTCGCATTTGCATGATTTCAGCAGTCCGTGCATTTATGAACGCATTGTGCATTGGGTGCGTGAAAGACGACTTTCACTGCTATGGATTGATTTCCCCAGCGTCACCTTCTCGCGGGGTAGACGCTATCAAGATGGTGGTCCCCGGCCACTTCGGGATGAAACCCATGTCTGGGGTTTGCCAGGCTTGGGTCGTGTGAATACCGTGAGGCTTGTAAAGAGCAACCATCTTTTCCAGCTGCTCATGTATGTCTTACATGCTTGCATGGCCTCGAAGGTGCCATTTGTGGTGTCGTCTGTTGTGGACCATTCCATCGATGCAACATCTATGTGCAAAAATACCTTTGCGGACCACTGATTTGGATTCGATTTGGTGCAAGCTTCTTGAGACCCATCCGGCTCCTGTGATTTCGCCTTGATATTTCTTATTTAGCAAAGCGCAGTGGGTCGCATTTCTGCTGCAGTTTCACTAAACGACGCTACTTGTCAACTGGGGGTGGGCTGTCCAGGAAAACACACTCGATTGATCCATATTATCCTGACACGTTTGGCCGTCAACTTGTAGCGATTGCTAAAGCACCATTTTATGGATAAGGGGTCTTGGCTAATACT